GTTTTAATATCATATAATCAAGATATGATCTAGAAATTTGGCCATGGCCTTTGTCTTTTTTGGTTATTTTTATGCAGACTTATTCACGATTCAGTCGATGAGTTTCCAGACCATGTCTCGATTGACTATGGCGATATGAAGTAAAGCTGACTCAATACAGTTTTTTTAAATGGAAAATTTACGATTCATGCAGATCCGTATTTTTGGACAATTACTTGTTGAAAAAATTATCTTACTGATATAAAACAACATTAAAGAGTTTGAATTTTTTTAAGAAAAGTTACGCAAATGCCGTTGCAAAAATGACGTTTCAAGATGGCGGATATTTTGGTTTTAAGGTAATTTAACTCGTAAAAGACATCGTAACCCCAAAATTTTATTTCACAAAATGATATCACTTAGTATATCAATTATTTTGACAATTTTAAAAATTAGGTACGCGGAGCGTACATGTTGCAAGCCATTCGAGTATATGAGCATAGTTGATAGAGCAGATAAGGCGTGATAAAGCAACGCTGTGACTAGCCTGAGAGGACGATACAACCCAGTCAACCTAGTCATATTTGGATGAACGCTTTTGGCTGTTTACAGGTGTAGTACAAATGCTCTCTTCTCGCTGTTTACCGTGCGTATTGCGCGTTGTGCCTATACCGAGAATACATATCACCTGACCAATGTGTTACTAGGCTTGCTCCAAGTCTCTCTTTCATTGTCATATAGTATCGATCCACGATAGTGTACATTACATGACATAGTACGGAGGGCCGGAGCGAGAAAGAGAGATTTGTCAACTTCAGGAAATCTCGGTTCAAAACTGAACCGAAAATGCACGACTTGTTCTAATTGTTTTCTGTCAGTGTTTATATGTATTGATCTATGTAAATAACATGAGTTCTGTTATAGTAAATAATACAGAAAAAAATTGATGGAAAACAATTAAAGCAAGTCTTTCGGTTCAGTTTTTAACCGAGATTTTCCGAAGTCGACTGGTTTCTCTCGCTCCGCTTCTCTGCGCTACGTCATGTAATGTACACTATAGTGGATCGATATGACAGTGAAAGTGAGACTTGGAGCAAGTCTAACGTGTCACAAGCACTATCTGCTTGTCTATTCTTGTCTCATTGGTCTTTTTGTGAAGGGAGAAAAACTCGTACCACAAGCACAGAGTATTATTATTGTATGACCAAAACACGTGACAAAACGTAAACATAGATCTGATTCAGTGTCGTATGCATATGCCTGATAAGATTCATTGTTTACATATTTTTATATTTATGGACTTTACGCAATACGGCTTGTGCACGACTTTTACTTTGTTATGTAACTAGCCGTAATATTACTATAAGTGAAGTTACTATATCAGTTCTGCTCATAACAAATGGGCCCACAGATATAAACATTGCCCAAATTTTGCATCTTTCGAACTTTTTGAATTGAAACGTACTCTATAGTTTATATTCATTTACAATTGCGAACCAGAAAAGGTGTTAGATATTCAGTTAGTATGCCTTATTTTACAAATATAGCAGTTCAAAATGTAAACAAATCCTTTGCTCACATTACGGACTTGACATGGTCGTGATAAATAAACTATAAACTGCCAATTTAAACATCAATTTAAAAGAATTTAATTTAGTATACTCACGGTATAAACGTGCATGAAATAAAAATAGCACACGTTAATTGAAAAGCCGTTTTATACTAGCACAGTGCTTGATACAGTAGTGCAAGTAGTATAAGGTCCCTGAGACTGTTATACACTTCTAAATACAGAGATAGAGTATAGTGGCATAGTGAGTAGTGTAGAATTGATCTTAGTCCGTGTATGACGGAAACGTGCGTATAGTCGCTGGAGTCAATATGTTCGAACTATAACTATTTTCGGGAATATTTTTTATGAAATACTACGATAACATATTGATTTACACATATATATTCATAAAGTGCAGCGAGCTTGCATGTGAACACTTTTGAAAGAACTATTGTGAGCAGTGCCAGTGAAATATATTCAAATTTGTGAGTTCTACGATGCAGTATTTACTATTTATAGTTCTATAAAAAAATATTGAGAATATATAGTCATAGAGTACTTTTGCGGCTCAAAAAGAAATTATTACTTGTAGAACTGATTACTTGCCTACAATTTGTATCGAAAAGACGAAAAGCAGCAAGCCAGCAACGTAAAACTGATATATATGCATATATGGCCATCGCCATAGCGTAGTTCCATGCATGTACACGGCAAAAAACGACGAGCCTGCTGCTCAACAGGATTGAACAATGTTTTGCTGCCCACATTGTTCACACTTGTCAACAATATTGAACAATATTGTTGAGCCTGAATCGGGTGTAACAATATTGTTCAATGTTGTTGACAACTATGAACAATGTGGGCAGCAAAGCATTGTTCAAACCTGTTTTCATCAGTATTGCAACAACCTGATCGTTTTTTGCCGTGTAAACAGTGACAAGTCATGACTAAATTTAAATACAGTAATTAGCTTCGGCTTATTTCCGTGATCTGTCGGCCGTCGCCCTATTGGTCGACACAAAATTGTAACTGCACGTGAAAGTGGACAGGACAGGACAATTGGACAGGACAAATTTTAAGTATATGATAGTTGCATATAATGGCTTGCAACAAAAACTCTGTTGAGCAATTATTATGAATAGTCACCATTACGTAATTTGGGGGTCATTGATTTTGGTTTCGAGCTAAACTACTTTAAAGCCAAAATATCCGCCATATTGAAACGTCATTGTTGTCATAGCAACAGCAGTTACGTAACTTTTATGCAATATTCAAACTCTTCTGATGTTGTTTTACATAATGCCAGCCCTCTTAGCATAATTACCTAACTCATTTTTTTTAAGTTTTGAGAAAAACAGGAAAGATCCAAACCAAAACGTGCTCGTGACATAGGCAAATGTTGTTTACGGCATATAAGAAACTTTCTTATTGGTTAATGAGATAGGCACTTTTGCAGCATATTCAAAATGAGCATTTGGGCCAAAAATGAGTTAGGCAATTATACTAAGAGGCTGACGATAAGTAAGATGGAGCTGTGGTGATCGGCAGTTATACATAACTTATAGAATAAATTAATTACAACGCGCTTGAAAAATGGGCCACATGTAATTAGGGCGCGAAATAATGCAGTAGCACAGGACAGACAACAAGCAGAAAAAGCACAAAATTGGTCGCGATGACATGAGTATGTTTTGCGGTTTCTATTTTAATATTGTGCAAAGAGCATCCAAATACACAGCATGAAAGTAGCAATATGTACATGAATGCGAGTGACACTGCTCTATTTCAGTATTTGACAGGGTTGCCCTGTACCTTATATATATTACCTTGTGTATATATTAACAGGTTTTGTGATTGGTTGGTTATGACAGTAAACCAATTGTCTAACGAACAATTCGCAAACAGTGATCACTCTTGTTTTAAAAGCCAATCACATGCTTATATTGGTTTGGATCCTATACGGGTATTTGCCAATACTTGTGTAATATTTCAGAAACAAAATTCTAGAAAACACTTTCAATTTGGCGCCATCTATTTAGATAATTTCAAATTATTGAAGATTTTAGGATATTTTTGCAATATGGTTCTCTTAAAAAGCGAACATATATAACTTTACCAAATTAATTGGGATTTGTCCCCCAAGACCAAAGTCCAAGGGTATACTGATGCTTTGACGAAATCTGTGTCGTGCCAATATACCGATATAGCAATGCACAAAGTGTTGTCAGAGACAGGACCACATCAGCTTTCTTATTTTGTTCATAGATAAACTGTTCAGTATGCATGAGTATATAGCTCAAATGAAATATTAATTTCATTGGGTTATCTCATGGTCATTTAAATCCCTCTGCATGGTTGTGAGTCTGCTCGGTAACCTCGCTGAATTTTCTACACCCAACATATACAAATAACTTTAATATTTTTTTATTACTTTAGTTTATCACAGTATATCAATGCCAAACTAGAGGAAAAGGGATGTGACATCATCGAAGGTCTACAGGAATATATATCGGACGATATCAAAGTGGAACATGCCGTGGAAGCTTGGAAAGTTGCCTGCCAGAAAAGCGAGGATTACCACTCAAGAATGTAGCAGTAGCTTGTAGAGAATTTTTTTTAAGAATTTATAATTTTTATGTGAATGCCTTACATCGGATTAAAAATCGTGGATTTAGCGAGAAAGCTTATTTTAACGTATAATTCCAAAACCTAATTATTTAATATATTTTGCATGGATTAATTTTGGGAAAATACATTTTGATCACTTTTCCCATTGATACTACTGGAAATACCAAATAAATGTATAATTGGTTTGATTACGAAATTTTTGAGTCTCAGCATCTTAAGGCGACTGCGAGATATAGTAGATTATCAAACGTTAATTACAATATACTTATCGATAATCCAACCCCACTTTGACTACTGCTCTCAGGTCCAACATACTAAAATAAATCATGATATAAAATAAAAAATGAGGATCAGGATTTTTGAGTTACTGTAAATTACTTTCAACCAAAAATATCCGCCATTTTGAAACGGCATTGTTGTTATATCAACGGGTGTTAGGAGTAACGTTTTTAAAACTCCGAACTATTGAGATATTGTTTTATTTAATGATTATTTTTAACAAATAATCATTGTACATTATGTTATACCGGGCGACCAATAACACAACATAATATAACACTTGCAGATTAACTATAGTTTGTTCGATAGTGAATTAATAACGGGTTTGTTTATGACATTCAGTATATATTCCATAATTTCCAGTCTTCACTGCAACAATTTATGTGTACGTAAGTCTTTGCATCCACAGAAACACATTTATATGTGCAAATTTACTCAAAAATATAGGTAAATTTACACAAAGGAAAAGCATCCACAGGAACACATAAATTTGTGTAAAATTGCACTTTAACCTACACATTGGTTGTGTAGATGCTGTACAATAATATCGGTAAATTGCTGCAACTGAAATGCATCTAGACCTACACTTTTTTGTGTAACATTTCTCTTTGTAAATATTATACAAAAAAAATAAAATTAACATCTACCATATTATAAAATGAAACAGTCACAGAAAATAGTTTAATCTTGTCAATTACTATAATTCATGTTGAACCTTACTATATATTCAAAATATACCATTATTACCAATGGAATTGGTCCTGCATTCCCTGATTTCAAGTTCAAGCCACTTTAAAACTTAGTTACTAGAAATACATGCATGCAACAACCTCTCGCCTATATTTTCCAAACATTGTTTCAACATGAAGTATTCATAATTACGCCAACACTGAACGCAGGCTCGCGTCGCCACGTCATGTTAGTCATGGCAACACGATAATTGTTTTGTTGTTTTTTTTGTTGAAACCTGCAAAAAATAGATGAAACTTGAACACTTTTAAATACAAAACTATCAATTTCTAAAATATATAAAATCTACCTATATTTAAAAGAAAAATCGATTCTTTCTACCAATGTCCAGACAATTTGATGTTCATTAAGTCCTATACCCACGACTTCTAAAACATGGACTTTTTTGCCTTTCACCATTACTTATAACACGAAGGTCCGATTTTATGCGCGATTGATTTTGTACATGATTGATTTCTTACATACTCTTTACAAAATAATCAAAAATTATGCGTGAAAGCCTGCTGTGCCATAAACCTCATAGTTTAGAGGTCGCGCATATAATTTAATGTACATCAAAGTGTCTGCATGGTCACTTACTTCTGAGTTCTAATTTTTGTCTATTATTATTATTATAAGTCGTTGTTATCAATAGCTGAAACAGACGTGTCACTTTACAAAAGATGACAAGATATTAAATTAAACTTATTTACATCAGGGCCATAAAACAAACCCGTAAAACAAAAGACTTTCTACTTATGAGACATGTACGAACAACTCAATGAAATACCCTGTACAGTATAAGCAGCATTAAAATGAAGTTGTTATTGATTTCTGTAAATAACAACAATAACAACAACATTGTTTTGGGGGGAAGGGGGGGGGGGGCCAATAGGATGTCTCGATAATTTTTGCTCCAGATTGTAGGTCGAATCAAAGCCGACTCCTGACTCGAATATAATATTACGAACACTTAAACCATAGAATTATAAACTTAAGTTAATGAAACAAGCATTCGGACAAGAGTAAAGTTGTGCAAAGTCTCCTTGAGTACAAAGGTCAATCTGTGAACCGTGTGATCATACACATGCAAAGTGTAAGGCTGAATTAACAACAAACCATTGTCAAATCTCTTCCCATGCGTGCGGGAAAATAGACCAATCAGGTTTCACCTCTTTGTCTGCATAGTTTCCTGCTTGGATCAGTAAGCCTCATTGTGTCACTTGCAAGCAAAAATGTATGACCTCTGCTGCAAAGTACTTTTGAAATTACCACCCATCCCACCCTTCAAGGATTTTTGCACCACTTTATCATAACTCGTACCACAAAGTAAATAAAAATCTGTAAATATTGTTTTAATATGCAATCCGTCATCAAGATTCGCATGGACTGCAATTCAGGTAGTGTTGTAGATAAAGTATTATGGAGTAGTTACTGGTTAATAGGTTATTACAGGCACGTCTAGATTTTGTAATATACAGTATTGGAATTGACTTTGCAAGTCAGGTGGTAAAAATAAAAATATTTGGTTGTTGGGGACGGAGTGCTCCCAAAGGTCACCCTCAACCTCATAGACTCACACAATCAATGTATTATACAGTGTATTGTAAAGTAAACAATGACCATCACGGGGATGTACTACTTCTTGAATATTAAAGTAAACAATAACCATCACGGGGATCTACTATACCCCTTGGACATTTAGGACGCCCATCTCGGGGATCTACTACCCCTTGGGTAAAGTCCAACATGGGAGAACCACGACCCCCTGAGGACATATAATTATATCATAATCATATTGCTGTAGTAGTGAGTCTGTGGGTTGACACTTTGGCCATAGTTTAAAGTATAATCGGAGCATTTCTCCTCGACAACCCTTCTCCC